TCTCTCTATTCTCTCATCTTTTCCCCTCTCTTCTTCTTCCTCCCCAAGCCCTAACCCCCATTCTTCCCCAAATTTCTTCTTCTTCAACTCTCTCATCTCATCTACAAGGTAAGCTTTCTTCTTTCCTCTTTTCTTTTCTTCAACTTGTTAGTGTAAATTAGTTTCTTAACCCTAGATTTTGTTGTAATATATAAATTGTATCTTTTTCTTTGTTTTCTCTTTTTAATTGATTATTTTAGCCATGGTGGATGCTTAGATGTTGGGTTTCATGATGATTAACTTGTGGGGAGGGATTTGTAGTATTTTCTGAGACCTAACTATCATTTTTAGGGCAAAGTGTGGTGGTTGGGCCTATATGGACGAAAATTTGGGATTTGTTGTAATTTTTGGAGCACTTTGTGCTCATTGTAATTGGTTGTAGTGGTGGTGGTGGTGGTTAAAATATTTCACTGATGAAAGGTTGGGTGTGGTATAGTAGGAGAGGTTGCCATGTTGATGGGGGTGTGAAGTAATCGTAGTATGGGTTGGCTAATTGGGGCCACTTAGCAATAGGGTGTTTTGGCATTGTTGGCCAATGATAACTGTTTAGTGCCAGCGGGTGGCGAAGTCTGAGTAACCATTCGCATGGCCCAGTTTAGGATGTATTTGATAGTTGCCCTGTCTTGTTGCAGGTATTATGGCACGAAAGAGGCACAAAGGTTCGGCTAGTACTTCCCAAGGGCCCACATATGATGAAACTAGGTTCCAGTCTCCGGAGGATGAGGATGCATTCCATGCGAAAGCCACAAAGACCTTCGTCCCGGAGATTGCTGTGGATAGGTCTGCCCTCCGCATGGAAAGCCCAGCCATGTATGAAGAGATACGGCGGAGGGAGATGGAATTTTTGTTTGAGGAGCCCGAAACAGTGAATCCAATTCTAGTTAGGGAATTCTATGCAAATTGCACGGAGCATTTTAGCCGGGAGGTATTTGTGCGTGGCATGGTGGTGGATGCTTCCATTCTTAAGATTCGGCAGGTTTTGCAGTTGCCCCAATTCAGAGGTGATGTTGATCATTACCACGACGCTCATGGGGTTAATTGGGATACCTTGATTGAAGCAATCTGCCAGAATGGCCAACCAACTTGGATACATGAAAACATCACCCTCCACCCCAAGTCCTTCACTCACGAGGCCAAGTACTGGTTCAATATCATTTGCAGCCGCTTCCTGCCCACAAGCAACTCTACCGATGTCAACCACCTAAGGGCTCTACTGGTATGGTGCTTTGTCACAAAGCGTGACTTTGATGCGGCGCGGCTCATTGGTGATGAAATGATCCTCCGATCCTCGCTGTAGTCTAAGGGGTTTTATTTCCCTCATTGGTGACTAGATTGTGTCTGCTCAAGGGCGTTCCCACTCTGCCTACTGATGGCACATTGCCCTCAAGGATACCCTTCAGAACTTCTAGGATCAACGTGGGCAGAGATACGCCCGCGACCATAGATATTGATGATGCGGAGGAAGCCCAAGCACCAATGGCACCCTCCAGGAGGTCATATGACGGAGCTAGATCTTCCCGGCGTCCCCACACTGGAGCCGGACTCTCTAGATCACAATCCACCCGGCATATGCTACGTTCAGTGGAGGAGGAGCTCGTGGAGCTTCGTACCTCGGTGGATGGCCTGCATGTGAGGATGGATGCTATGTCTCAGCGCCATGCCAGGTCTGAGAACCGCATGATGGCGTGGTTCCGTGCATTGGGACGAGCTTGTCATGTGGACCCCAGCACGGTCTCCGATTCCGAGTGATACTCAGTGAAGTCTTCTTACCCTACTGCTCTTTATTTTTGTATGACATGGGGACATGCCATGATTATAAGTGTGGGGTGGGAGACTTGTTGTTGTGATGTGTTGTATTGTACATATTAAACATGTTGTAATTTTATAACTGACTTGGCCCAACGACGGACACTTGTCGACGGGTCTCTTGAGGGTCAAAGTCGGTTGTTAAGGGGTAAAGGACTCTTCCTGAGGACAGACCACTTGGACAGTACTCTTGAGGGAAGTAGTCCATGTAGATAATTTTTTATTTTGCTTTTCTTTTCTCTTTTTAGGTAATGTAGTAATTCCCCCTTGGTTTTTCTTTTGACCACAGTTCTTTTCCAAGGGCTTTTTCTTGAACCGGGTTAGGTAGATTTTTTTTTAGGACTCAGAAGACTCTCTTAGATTAGTAGGGGTAAGGGCAGGAATGGACAACCCAAGTGCGAACACCCCGACAATCCTCTCAACAATATCGTGTGTGCTAAAAATATAAAACAATATAACAACTTGCACCACATGTGCCCATATGCCACCATATTTCCTTAAAAATAATTTTAATACCACAGCTATACATTGCCCCCGGCTTAACAGCACTGAGTACAAGTGTACAACAACAACAACAACCCGGGAGTACGGCAAGCAAATCAATAAAAGAATTACAAAAGCACATTGAAACGGAATAACGAGCTCACAATGAAAGACATAATAAGTAATAATGGGTTCAAATAAGAATAATTCAACAATAAGAGAGATAATGTGTATCCACGATATCATAAAAAAAATAACTCAATAATAGGATAGATAACATGTAACAGTGATTTCAAATAAGAATAACTCAACAGTAAGTGAGCCAACATGTAACAACGATTTCAAGTAAGGATAAATCACAATGGAAGAGATTACATGTAATAAAAGAGGCAACAACTCCAATTAAAGCATATAAGAGTATATTTGGCAACAAAGAGTAGAACATGAACCAATCAACTTTAAATAAGCCATGTAATGGTAAATTTAGCAATGGAGGATATAACATGATAACGCAACTTCATTTTAATGTGCATAAGAAACCTAAGAGTCTAAAACGGTCAAATTTCCACATATAAGTCGTGTACACACTCGTCACCTCGTGTACATATCTTTCACGCAGTTCAAATAGTGCAAACAACCCAATTCCTATGGGGTAGTTCCCCCACACAATGTTAAGCAAGATACTTACCTCAAAAGCCCTCAATCAATACTCTAAAATAGCTTTTCCTTTACAATTCACCTCCGCTCGGCTCAAATCTAACCAAAATTGACTTAATAACATCAAATAAAGAGAAATCAATTCCAATAAATAAAGCTATGATCTTTACACAATTTCTCAAAAGTCAACTCTAGGCCCGCCCAGTTAAAACCCGGGTCCAAGGGTAGATTCCGACTACCCATAACCCCACGAGTCTACATATGTATTTTACTTCAGAATCCGAGTCCAATTCGACTCTCAATCCCAAATTTTTATTTTTCAACACATAGACAAAATTTCTCAAAATTCTCCTTTGATTTTCATAATTTTGATATTAAATCTTATATATAATCATGTAAAATAGTTGAAAATTGATCAAAATCACTTACCCAATGATTGTAGATGAATATCCCCTTTTCAAATAGCCTCTTACCGAGTCTAGGGTTCAAAATATGAAAGAATGAGCTAAAATCCCGAAATTTCAACTCCTAACCTAGTTGCAGATGTCGCATTTGCGACCAAAAGTTCGCAATTGCGGATGTTCACATTTGCGACCAAAAGTTCGCAATTGCAGATGTTCGCAATTGTGACCACATGTTCGCAATTGCGACCAGGGTTCGCAATTGCAACAAAAAGTTTGCAATTGCGAAGTACCAGCACCAGCAATCCCAAACTTCACCAAAATAATTCGAAACCACCCTGAAACTCATCCGGAACCTCCCGGACACAAATCATATATGAATTTCAATCATAAACACGCTACGAACCTGCTCGCGCACTCAAAATACTGAAAAGAGGTCGTCTTGACCCGATATTGACCATGGTCAAACTCAAAATTTCTTAACTTAACTAGTCTCTCAACCAATGATCCAAAACACACCCAATCCCCTCGGGCCCCCGTCTAATTATGCCAACAAGTTCCAAAATATGGCGAACCTACTCGAGGCATCAACTCCCGAAACATAACATCAAAAACACGAATCGCACCTCAATTCAAGCTTAATGAACTATGAATTTTCAACTTCTACAACTCGCGCCGAATCATATCAAATCAACCCGGAATAACGTCAAATTTTGCATTCAAGTCCCAAATGACACAACGGAGCTATTCCAACTCCCGGAATTGCAATCCGAACCCGATATCAACAAAGTCAAACTCCTGATCAAACCTCTCAACCTTCCAAACCTTCAACTTTCCAGCTTTCGCCTAAATGCAACAAATCAACCTACGGACCTCCAAATTCAAATCTGGCAAACGCCTTAATCCAAAATCACCATACGTAGCTATTAGAATCATCAAAACACCATTACAGATTCGTTTACACAAAAGTCAGATTCCGATCAACTCTTGCCACTTATGCTTCTAAACAAGAATCATTCTTCCAAATCAAACCCGAATCATCCAAAAACCGAATCCGGCCACACATGCAAGTCATAATACACAATACAAGGCTACTCAAAATCTTAAGCCACCAAATGGAACGCTAATTCCCAAAACGACCAGTCGGGTCGTTATACATCTATAATCTGTTGGTGTTCGCCGAACTTTAATTTGGATTTTGAAAACATTAGTAAAAAGATATTCAGAAAAGTTCTAGATTAACAGTGTGGAGTATGATGATCTTATTATTATTATTATTTATTTATTTTGCGTGTACTTTGATGTTTTTCCTCTTTCAGTTGAGGAGCAATGAAGCACATAAATAGTAATTAAGCGACTATAAATGTGAACATAATATCTTAATATGCCAATTATTGGGGAATGGAGAACAAAGAGAGCTAGGTAGATATTTTAATAAGTTTTCATTGTTTCTAAAACCAAATTGAGTGGATTTGTAATAATGTGAGTACTACTCTAATAATGTAGTACCGTATGGTCAAAAGACATAAAGACAGAGAAAGAGAGATACACCTACCTATAGAGAGAGAATAAAAAAGAGAACAAAAGAAAAAATCAAAATTTAAAAATAGCACTATATTCATTTATTATATCAAATTAGTTAAGTCATTTCACATCTAAAAGAAAGAAGAAATTAAATAACGAATATTATTTAAAAGATAAGGAATGAGGGAGAAGTAGCACATTTATTTACTGAGTAAATTTAAACCCACTTAATCAGTCTCGTATCCTGTGGGTTTCCCCTTTGACTTCACTTCCTTCCATTTTGGTGGATCAGTTAGAAGTCCAAACCTACTCTCCATCTTTCACCAATCTGCGGCAAAGTAAATATCATTAAAGTTATATACACAGTGTAAAGAAATTTTATAATATCAGCACAATTTAATTAACTAGTTATAATAGGATATCACTCTATTTTGCATGTTATATAATTACATTAGTAGGTTATTTTGTTATTAAAATTGACATGTTATAGGCCAACTTAATTTAATAGCGTAAAAGATCATCTACAATGCCAGTGCAGATAATTTAAAAAATCTACTACATATTCTATTATTTAATTAATGAGTGAAAGTAGACGTGTAAATAAGAGTACATCAACAAGAACGTCTAGTTAGTTAGGTTTGAAAATTTTCCTTCATACATCCACAATAATCAGTAACTTGCAGTGGAAAGACACCACCATATAAAATTGATGAATTTTTGTTGTAAGTTATCCAACCACAAATATTCCACAAGAAAAATTAAAGTTTAAATCCACTATTGAGGAAAACGACTATAGTTCGGATTAATGTGTAGATTATAAGTTCTTGAAATAGCTAGCATATCAAACAGGGAAATTAAAGAAGAAAAGCAGAATTCAGTTGAGTAATTAAAATATTACCCTTCAACTTTAATTTGAGATAGTAACTGAGAACTCTAGTTGCACAAATTATGCGTTTCTCAATTGAGCTTAATTTAGAGCCTGTATGGACATAAGAATTTTTTCACTTTTTTCGAAATTAGTGTTTGGCCATAAAATTTCGAATTTTCACTTGAAAATGAATTTTGGAATCTTTCGAAAATTTAAATAACTCCAAAAAACTGTTTTTCAAAATTTTCACTCAATTCACTCATAAAAATTCAAAAACAACCCAAAATTATATTCATGTCCAAACACAACTCTAATTTTCAAATACCATTTTCACTTGAAAAAAAAGTTTCACATTTTTTTAGAATTTTACAGTTCTTATGTCCAAACACCCACTTATATATAGTAATTTATGCAAAGAACTTTTACATTATCAGTGTAGCTTAACATGTTGTAGCAAGTTATCTGAATTTTTCGAGGTAACTAGTCTTACTTATAATGGACAATACCTTTAGTTATTAGTTTTCTAAGAATGTGATAGTGTAAATTTTTATATATTAGTGTATGCATAAGCATACTATCATATACAACTTTCTAACTAAAACAATGAGAAAAGAACAATAGCAGAAAATTTTAAGGCTTACCATCATCCTTCTTGCCCCAAGACTTCATGAAGTAATAAACTATACCTAACAAAATGGTAGCCACTATTCCTCCAGCTACAATTGCTACCAATTTCTGTGTACCTTTCCCAGATCCTTTCCCTGTCAAGAAAATATATGCACAAAATGATCAACCAAAAAAAAATTGTAATTGATCCATATTTTTTGTGGGAGGTAGCAATAAGATCTGTGTAATATCCAAAGAAGACATTTGCGCTTAGAGGCGGAGTCGGGATTTGAATCTGATAGGTTTGGGATGCTAGTCTTTTAATTTTTAAGTTTCTGGATTCTAAATTAATAATTTATATATATTCAATGGATTTTTTAAAACAAACACAGGGTTTAGACTAAAGTTGCTGGATTATGCCGAGCCCATAACCAAAATACTAGTTTGCACTAGAAATCTAGGTAGCTAAATTATATAAGCAAGATTTTTGAGTAGACAAATTACCTTCATCTTGGTAGCTAGATATCTTATGTTTACCATAACTATAGCTCAAATAACATCCATCCAAATACACTTCTGCAGCTATCGAATATGCACATTCGTCATGAGCAATCTGCACTGCTTTGTTCATACATTCACCACAATCACAACCTCTTAAATTCCCAACACATTGTGCCATGACATGAGCCTTCCCATAACTTAAGTCACAAAATCCATTTCCACTCATTCCACAGCTCTCAACTTCAGCAAAAGCATAGCCCATCTCCTCCTCGTATCTAATCGATTTCGCCTTTTTCCTGCTGCATACCTAGAGGTGGCTAAATTAACTTAGAGCCCGTTTGGATATAAGAAATTTTTTTTTTTTTCGAAATCAGCGTTTGTTCATAAAATTTTCAATTTCACTTGAAGATGCATTTTGGAATTTTTAGAAAATTTGAAAAATTCCAAAAAGCTGTTTTTCAAAATTTTCACTCAGATCACTCACAAAACTTCAGAAACAACCCAAAATGAGTTGGGTTATAACCTGTTTGTTGACATAACTAACGGGTTTAACTCAATTTAATCTACCAAATTATTGAGTCAAAACGGATCAAAATAGTGTAAACCCGCGGATTACATTGCAACCCAAACACAAAGATACAAAATGAAATTTGGAGATAAAATTTTATGTAAATCTGGAAGAATTTAAACTAGTTTCACTTTTCTTTTTCTTTTTTCAAAAGCAAAGTAGAAAGGAAAGGAGGTTAGCTCATGTTGGACGAGTTGGATTATGACTCGTTATTTGACCTATTTTGACCTAACTCATCTTCGACATAAGCTAACTTTGCGCAAACTAGGTGAGCACATTTGAACAAATAGCCTTTCTGAGGCCACTATTTAAATTTTTGTCCCCGTTAGTCCAGTGGACTAAATTTATCTACAAATTCGCTTTTAAAGGCGAAATATAGAGCCCGTTTGGCCATGAATTTTTTTCACTTTTTTTCGAAAATTTTTCACTTTTTTTTCGAAATCAGTGTTTGGCCATAAATTTTGAAGATGAATTTTGGAATTTTTCGAAAATTTGAAAAACTCCAAAAAGCTGTTTTGCAAAATTTTCACTCAGATCACTCACAAAAACTAAAAAACAACCCAAAATTATATTCATGTCTAAACACAACTCTAATTTTCAAATAATATTTTCACTTGAAAAAAAATTTCACTTTTTTTGGGGAATTTTACAATTCTTATGTCCAAACGCCCACTTAGTCCATTAAGCTACTATGACAAAATTTAAAGAGTGACCTAAGAAAAGGTAATACATACTATTTCCTGGATAGGATCATGACTGGTTTACTGATTTGACCCATTTTGACCCGCACAAGTTTGAACCAACTCACTCATTTGTCATCTTTATGCATACCTTATGAAGCATCAGAAGCTTAGAAACCTCCCTCTCTTCCTCTGCCTTGTAATCCAAATAGCAACCAGAAAGTTGAACCCTAGCAGGGATTCTTTCTCCACAAAAATTACTTGAAATATCAACAAGTTTATTAGTACAAGTATGACATTGATCATGGTTAAGGTCATTTCTGCACTGAAATAATCCCAAAATGGCTATTCTATCATCCCCTGCATAAGTCTCAAAAAACTTGGATTCTGAGGATTTATCAAGAAATTCTTGAAAAAGAGATGAAACAATAGATAACTTTGATAATGAGGTAGAAATTTCAAGATCATTTTGGAATGTTTGATTTGCAGTACAGGTTGTGAAAACTAATTGATGGAAATCTATATTATTGGTGTTAGCAGTTAATAACATTAAACTAAAAAGGAATATTTTCAGAAGGAACTGATTGTGAAGGTAAGCTGAGGGATTTGAAGATGAACATCCCATTTGGTAAATTGTGAATAATGATTGGTATCAGAAAACCATTAACCAGAAGTGTGCAATATGTAGAGAAATACTATGCTGTAACATTAAGATAGAAATTTGTGTTGTTTATCCTATAGAAGTTTTCTTCTTTTTACTTTGTCATGCCTAATCCTATCTAATTATTTGGCTTGTTTGGAGTAAATATGATGCAACTACTAATTTTTTGGCTCAGCATGTTAGGTTTGACTAGCTAGTTTAAGGTCTAGTTCCACGACTCTTTCATTATACCACTTCAGTAGAAAATTTTGGATTTAAGTTATATAAAGTAATAGTATAAGTATTTTTTTCTTGTGTAATTTAATATGTAATTGCAGGTTAGTTACTATTATTTTATTGATCATTAATTAGTACTTATCATAAAAATTAATCTATAATTACCTCATAAGTGATATGATATATATAATTATTTTTTCAGTGTCATCTCATAGAACTTAAAATCATCGCTATATGGTAGATTTTAGTCCTTTCATGATGTAACAGATCTTAATACGAAGAAATTCCTGATGGGGAGCGCTTCCACTACAAATGGATCATATGTGGTGGGAATTTAATTTTCCTGAGTTGAGGGTCTACCCAAAACAGCCTTTCTATCTTCTCAAGGTAGAGATATGGTCTGCTTACACACTACCCTCCCCAGATATATGGGATTACACTGAGTTTGTTGTTGTTGTTGTATGCGGCGGAAATCTGAATTAGTCTAAAGTTCTCAAGAAAGGACATACCGTACCAGTCGGGTGAAATTCAAAAATTGCCAGATTTACAAGTGGTAATTGAAAAATAGCCACAATTTCAAAAGAAATCAAAATTTAGCTACTTTTTATGTAAAGATAAATATGAACGAAAATACTGTTCAAAATCCGGAAAATATTCCAACATAATATACTGGAATTCCAGTATAATATACTGGAGTTCCTGTATAGTATACTGACCCAGCATAATATGTTGGAAGTTCATACACAGGTGCACCAATCTCTAGTATATTATGCTGGAACTTTTCGTGTTGCAGCAAAATAACGGCTATTTTTCAATGACTTTACAAATGCTAGCTCTTTTTTAATTACCATTCCGAAAACTGGCTAGCCCGTGCTATTTTTACGTACTAACCCCCTTCATGAAATAATCCTATAGGAGTATCGGTTTAAACAACTAGACTTAGAGATGGGCCTGTGAGACCCAATTAACTAGTCCATGAACTTGTTGGGCCATATATTAAGTTTAGGGATTTTATATACCTATACACTATTTGAAACTTTATTACTATAAATGTCCATGTTTAGTTAATTACCCGACCTAAACAAGTTTTGTCTAAAAAATATATACATTCCACCTTAAAAGGCTTCCAATCCATTTGTGCCTTCAATCAAGGGATTTAATTACACCCTTTTCCTTTTTTTTTCTCCTCTCTCCCCTCTTCTATCCAGATTCTCTCTTTCTCCCCATATCTCGAGTAAACGAAGTGCTATTTTTTGTAACCAGTAAAACTGCATAAAAATAGAAACTTTGCAATAAAAGGCTGATGGGGTTACGAACCGCGAAGAGAACAGTGGCAACAACAGCCTGTTGAAGAAGAACCCCTTTAATAACCTCTTTTTTTGTAGCCAAATTCTTCTTATCCTCATCTTTCTTTGTATGCAACCTATAATTCTCCATACCCCCAAGCATACAATACAATCCTGAATATACCCAATACATCACTATTCATGAAGGGGTCCCCAACAATTCATATGACACATCATATAATTCTCGATTAAGCGACTGCGGCACAACTGCAGAAAATTCGAATGCTATTTTAAGATAACCCGCTTTACCCTTAAACTTTGCCCTTTAATTAACAAAGATGAATATTATGAATTGTTGTTCCAATCGGCAACTACCATGCCCTTAATTCTACGAAGGAATAAAATCTACTGGAGAATGCTCAAGAAAAATTTACAAGTTAACATTACACCATCTTCTCTTACAATTAAATTTTTGCATTTCCTTTGCTATCTTTTCATAAGGACGGCATAGTAGTGGTCGATATGTTAATTTTCAATGTCGACAAAATTGTGATAAACTCGGAGTCAAGTTACGACGCATTACTTTCAGCCATTACAGAGCATCTAATTGATATACAATTACAACTTTCATACATTATTTCTATCTAGTTATATACAACTACAATATCATAGCACTTAAATACAATTTTTATACAATATGTCTTTTGTATTTTTTGTATCTGATTTATACATGGTAAAAATAAATTTCATACAACTAATTATATATTATACAACTTATCTACAACTTTCATACTTTATTTCTATCCAGTTATATACAACTACAATATCATACCACGTAGATACAATTTTTTAATACAAATTTTATACAATATGTCTTTTGTATATTTTGTATCTGATTTATACATAGTAAAAACAAATTTCATACAACTAATTATATATTATACAGCTTATCTACAACTTATCTAGAATTTTTATATATTATTTCTACTCATTATATACAACTACAATATCATACAACTTAAATATAATTTTTATACAATATTGTTCAACTTTCATACAATATTTAAATAAATAAAAAATATATAAACAACATAATACAATTTTTTTATAATTTTACTACGACTTTACTACAATTTCTGCAGTATATATAATGTATGTCATGTCGTCTTCTTCTTCTTCTTCAAGTTTCAATCTGAAATTCAGCCAAAATCAAGTCTAATCTTCACCAAAACACCCTCAAAATTGAGATATAAACTCTAAACAATTTTCCCAATTGTTTGCAACAACACCTAATTCAAACAAATAATGGTTTTTGAAAATCTAAATTCGAATTCAAAGCTTTTTAATGGCTGTCAATGGTGGAATTGCTGCTCTCTTTTCCTTTGCTTTACATTACTAGAATTAGGGATGAGAGATAGAGAGAGACGTAGAGAGAATTCCCAATTGTTTGCAACAACAACCAATTCAAACAAATAATTTGAAACAAATTCGAATTCAAAGCTTCAAAGCTTTTTAATGGCTGTCAATGGTGGAATTGCTGCTCTCTTTTCCTTTGCTCTACATTACTGGAATTAGGGATGGGGGGAGAGAGAGAGAGAGAGAGAGAGAGAGAGAGAGAGAGAGAGAGAGAGAGAGAGAATAAGGATGGGAAATAATTGATTCAGAATATAAAGGGATACTCATTTAATTCCTAAAGTGTATATAATTGGTAAATTTATATGTAGGAGATAATTAAATTGAAACTTGAGTAGGGAGGGTAATAAAGTTTCCAATAGTGTATAGGTATATAAAAATCCCTTAAGTATTATCCAAATAGGGGATGTAGGATCATAACCATATTATATTTCAATAAGCATCTAAACCAACCTAATCAGAAAAGAAATCTTTAAAAAAATGGGCGGTATACATATTATACAGAAATTACACACGGTTATACATAAATATTTCGGTTATTATTAGTTTAATCGGTCGGGGAGAGTGGCTATTTAGTTCAATTCTCCATAAAAAATAAGAGCAAGGCCTTTATACTGGCATTACCTGAACCTTGAATTTCTTATCCCCCAATTTATCTTGAATTCTGGAACATTTCTACCCCAGCCCCAGCCTAAAAGAATAAACGGTAAAGGGTCTGATATGTCCCTCTACTATTAACAATTGTTTAAAAATGTCCTTCGTTACACTATTTGGTTGTTTAAGTCCCTACCGTTATACTATCACACAAATATACCCCTAACTTTAACTGAGTGCCACGTGGCAGCTCAGGAACAAAAGGACCCACCCTCTGTTTTGATAGCAGGATCCAATTAGAACTAACCCCTAATTTTTTACCCATGCATTACCTGGCCCAATTTGCTCAACTTTGGATTTTTTCTTTTAAAAAAATTCAAAAGAACATCTCCATACATATCTTTAACGATTTGGTTTCTAAAGTTATCATGCAACAACAATATATTGAAATTAGTTTTTTAAGTGATTTGCAGCTTCACGACTCAAACAACACCAAATCTCCAATAAGTAAATCAGATAAAAATTTCAAATTTAATGATTCAATACCCAAAAGAGCTTTAATGGTGTTTTTAGTTTTTGCTCTTCAAATTTAATAGCGATCTTCAATTTTAAGCTCAACAAATATTACCCCTTCAGATTTGAATCCGTCAACAAATTTATAATTCCAATGCAAATGGGTTTTCAATTTTTTTTTTTAACAATTATACCCGAAAATTGTGAAGAACCGAGAGTAGTTATGCTTTCTGATCTTTCTTTCTTCTTTTTATGGCATTTTTCGAAAACCTTCATTGAAAAAATGTGGAATCTCACATTTTTCTTAGAAAAACCTAATTCTAACCATGTGATATTATTTTTCCATTTTGGTTGGAGTGGGAAATAAATTGAAGAAATTTCCTTTTCTTTGAAAAACAAGGAAAATAAAGATATTCTAGAGCATGGAATTACTTTTTTTCCTGATTGTTGAATCGATCAAGTGGTGAAACATGGAGCTTAATGGTAAAAGTTGGTATGAAGAAGATGAAATAGTGGTATTAGGCCAATTTGCTTGAACTGTGGACTGAATTTGATGAACATGGGTCGGGTAATGTGCAAAAAATCAGGGGTGGCTTTTAATTGGATCAGGCTATTGAAACAGAAGGTGGGTCCTTTTGTTCTTGAGCTGCCACGTGGCACTCCGTTAAAATTAGGGGTATATTTGTGTGATAGTATAACGGTAGGGACTCAAACGACCAAGTAATATAACGAAGGACATTTTTAAATAATTATTAATAGTAGAGTGACATATTAGATCCTTTACCGAAGAATAATAAGATGGATAATATGACTTCTGCTTCTAACCATGAAGGAAAATTTTAAAATTAAATAAATAAAAATGAAGAAGAAAATAGTAGTAGCAATCTTCTTATTTTAGTTCCAATAAAGTTTTACAACAATAGATAGAGAAGGAAAGTTCACAACTGAATGACCCCCATCTCCCCCTTGACAGGCTTTAAAACCTTTCATAGCTTCAATGTACGGCCATCACTAGAAAACTATTTGAAGAAAGGTTCTAAAT